GCTTATGACTGTATATATTTTGATGATGCTACGTTTCCGCTGATTTTGATGTTTTGACGAACTTATCTTTCGATCAGACTTTCAGATAATTAATGTTTTCAGTAACCGTTGATTTTGTTAAAAAATTAAAATAACGGTTTCTCAGAATAAGTCACGTTTTACGGTAGCACCCCAAATCAGTTTTCACAAATTAAAAGATTTTATTTTAAAAAGACTTTGCGAAATTACGCACTCTGATTTCACGATAAGGCGGGGTGATACAATTGGTATCATGTAATATCCCGTCATTTTATTAATATAAATCATGTTTTAGTTCCGATATAATCACGGTGTCGATTATTATTTTCGGAATTAATTATTTTCAGTCGAAATTACCCGAAATTATTTTCGACGTTCCGTTTACGTTCGGAATAATTTTGGTAATAAAACATTATGTTTAATTAAATAATTAAATATAATTTAGTGATTAATTAAAATCATTAATAACACGTCATTGTAAAAAGTCGTAGCTATTTTCCATTTTTTCAAAGTGCCATGCTTAGTGAATTAATGGTACATTGTCCATTAAGTTAGTGTGCTAATTAAGATTAATAAGGCTCCAAATTTCATTAATGCCGTGAGTAATTGTGGGGAAACTCATGAAATACTCATCATGTGTTTAAGCATGAGGTGTCATTTGGTTAATAACTAACCTTATGACTAGGCTAGATTATTGATGACTAAGCTTAAAAGTGGAGCATGTTAAACCTAAGCATGGCATATGGAGGAAAATTATTGGTTAAACCATACTTTTCCACCTCTTCACCCTTAATCATTCGGCCACCTATATAAGAAGTATGTTGGGACAAATTTTCCTCATACTCTAACATATATTAAGTAAAGAGAGAGCTTGAGAGAGTAGAGAGTTAGTGAGGAATAGGAAGAGCACCGCACGACAAGTAGCTACCGCAACAAGCAACGCACCGCACGCCGCACCGCCGAGATCATTGCACACACGCACAGACGCGTCGGGTACCGAGTTTTCCGAGAGTTCAGCGCGATCAGGCGAGTTAGTGAAGAGGTAACTTCGTTTACCTTGAAAATTTCATGTTAAAGGCATGTTAGTTTCGAATTTTTCGTGGTCATGGTGGCTTAAAGCCACTCGGCCGTGTGGGTGTGTAGTGAGCTTGTTCATGTTATAGTTAAAATCTTCCGAGTAAGAGTCATGTAATCAGGCCCGGTATGTTGTTCATGTTCAGTTTAGGTCATGTATTCGGAAGAAAGTTCATGTTTGTATGGTATTTCGGCCAAGGGACGTGGTCGCGCACGTAGCGCGCACCACAGGCCGGGCACTTGTAACAAGTATGTTAAGTTCAAATCCTTCGAGCACTTCATGTTATTTTGTTTAGTAAATCAGGTTTCATGTTCAGTCAAGTATGAATTGCCGAGAGAAAATGAAGTTTGGTCATAAAACGGCTTACCGCCGTCGGCGGCGCACGGTGTGCCGCCGCGGTCGAGTCCAGCTTTTTGTATAAAATTCATGTTTTAAGTTAGATCAGCATATATGATCATGTTATGATAAATTAAGTTAAATCATGTAGTAGTTGCCGGAGAAATCCGCCGGACGACCGACGAGGGTCGGTCGTATTTGCGCTGCCGCACATAGCGACCGCAGCGTACAGGCGGTGCGCGGGTGCAAAGGTGATGCACGGTATGGTACCGCGAGCGGCCAGTAACCGCGGCAGGTAACTGTTAGCGATGCGCATGCGCACGCCAACACCCAGGCATGCTCGCCAGCGTGCGGTAATGCATGTCAGCGCGCAGCAGCGCACGACAGTGGCTCGCGCAGCGTCAGTCCTGTCCAGCTAGTGTTGTGCACGCGTTCATGAACCCAGTAGCACGTCGTGGTGTACGGTAACACCCGACTATGCCCAGTTCCACGGCAGCCGGTGCACATAGCACTCAGCAGCACTCCAGGTCCGTCAGGTCTCGTTCATGTCCGTCATGGCCAAGTGCACCCAGCACCCTCGGCCGTGGCCAGGGCAGGCCCGGCAGCGGCCATGCCCGCACCCAATTCCGTCCGCAGTCGCGCCCGCAGCCGCGGCAAGGCCGCGGACCGAGTCAGCAGCCAACCAACTGGTCCAGGCAGACCGGCGGTTCGGCCAGACCGGTTCAGACCGGTTTCAACCGGTTCAGACCGATTCAGTCCATAAATTATCAGTTAAATCCCGGTTCATGTTTTTAAATCCCATTTTCAGTTAATTTTCGAGTCCAGTCCAGTTCAGTAAAATCATGTCAGTTCAGTTCCGTACTTAACCGGTTTCAGTTATACCGATTAAGTCCGGATATCATGTTAAGTCTAGTAGAGCATCTTAACATAATTAATCAATTAATTTATCAGGCTGAGCATAGTCCTTAGTAATTGTTTATATTATTTTTTAGTTTGATCAGGCATCAGCACTACCTGTATTTTCAGCAGTTCAGGTGGGGACTCAGACTAAGTACTACATTGATTATAATTACGGTACCATGTTTGAGGTATGTATTTCATGTCATGTATCCGCTCGGTATGGTCGCCGGTCCATTCTGGATTCTAGTGGCCTAGTCTTCCCACTAGAGTGTGCACATGGTGTCCGGTATTAGTTTGTGCCGGCAGATGAGGTAACAGTCATGGTGCACGTTCACGTGATGATATGAGATTCATGTTCATGTTATTACCGGTTTCATGTTCAAGTTATGTATATACTAGGATCATGATATTGTTATTATATTCACTGTTTACTTTAGTATGAGTTTCCACGGAGCATAGTGTTAT